AGACTGAGTTTCTGATCCGGTGGGTCTGGATGAGGCCGAAGAATTAGTATTTATTAGTTCCCAGGTGATGCTGGAGCTGCTAGCCCAAGAATTACACTTTTGGAACCCACCTAGGTTTCCATCTAGAGTTCTGTGCTTGTAAATAAACTACATTCCAGTTCTGGAAATGTCAAGAAATAAAGAACAGATTCCTATAGCTCAGAATGCAAAGTAGTCCCTTTCCCTAGCAGTTTGGGAAGACTTAACAAAGCAAACATGTCAACAGAAGTTCAATTATCTAGCTTCCATTCTACCCACAGGGCCATGGGACGGGGACATGAAATCAATAGTGCTCAAAGTCGGGTGAGTTTCAACAAGTAATTCTTCCTGGGAGGAGTGACTTCATGTAAGGCTTTTAAGGAAGGTTAAGTGGAGATGTTTAAGCCTGGTAGAGCATCCTGAAATGGCCAGGCCTAATGCCCAAAGGATAATACAGTTGGATGTCACTTTAAGGCTCACTACAGTTTATCCCTTTCTTACAAATTTAGTCTGATCATTGGTGAGTTCTGGACAAGGACATGATGTCCCAGCATGAACTCCTGCACCTGACTCCATGCCTTTGTTCATGCTGTTCCCTGTCCAGAATACCCTTCCTGGTCCTCTCCACCTCAGTAAGTCCGATTTATCTATCAGGACCAAGGTGAAATCTGACCATTCTTCTTGAGAACTTAAGAGTTTGACCTATACTGAGTATCTTTTTCTACCTGTCTCAATTTACTGGGATACTTGATCATTGTTTTCTAATTGTTTCTAATTTGTTGATTTATTCATTCAATAAATACTACCTTCCTTCAACTAAATCCTTATTGGAGTCTTACAATGTGCTGGGCATTATGGTAGGTTTGAGGAAGAGAGTCATAGCTAAAAACAGACCTGGTGGCTGGGCACAGTGGCTCACACCTGTAATCCCAGCACTTTGGGAGGCCGAGGTGGGCAGATCACAATTTCAAGAGATCGAGACCATCCTGGCCAACATGGTGAAACCCTGCCTCTACTTAAAA